GTGTCCGACGCACAGCAGTTGAATGAGCTGAACGTTATTATACAGATGGCCTGATTTTGTTAATATTGAAGCGTTGCTATATGTGTGTTGGATAGCTGGCACCCCACGACGTGATGCAGTAGTTCAGGTGACTGTGGATGAAACAGTAATAAGGTTAGTAGTGTAGGTTTGCTGAAATGGTATCCGGCCTTTATTCAAATTCTAATACCAGGAGCAATTTTGCGCTTTAGATGGACGATGTTTCGTAACTTTAATGTTTGAATCTAAAGTAACACCAAGAAATGAACATTCATCAACTGCACGTATCACATGAGAATAAAAAATGACCATGTAACAGATTTCTGGTGTTCTGTGACTGGTATGAAAAAGCATAAAAAAGTCTTGGTGGGGTTAGTTTTCAGCGAATTGAGGCGGCATCATGCTAAAATATTGTTCAAACGAGTATTCTGTTTCGGTGTAAAAACAGTTAGTGATCGATAGCTAGCAAGCAATGTCGTGCCATCTGCGTGAAGGGAAGCTTCCGTTTGTGATTGGAAATTGGTAAATCATTTGTGTAAATTAAAAATAGTAGTGGGCCAAGTATCGATCCCTTCGGAACACCCTTGTTCGTTCTTTTGAAGTGAGAAAGCAAGAAACGAACACACACAGCTTGTTGTCTGTATGTTACATAACTCTTTATATACTTCAGCACGGGCCCGTTGACACCTGCTGCCCGTTGTTTTTAAATGAGGATGCCATGATTCATGAAGTCAAATGCTTTCGATAGATGTATGAAAACTGATCCTGCGTAAAAACCAGCATCTATGGCGCTTTTCATTTTATCTGTGAAAAAAAGTATAGCATAGTTAGTCAAAGAACCTGACCTGAAGCCAAATTTATTTGAAGAAAGAATATTAAATTTTGAAATGTATGTGGTAAGACGTTTTCAATGCCCTTTTCAATGACGTTGCTAAAAAAGGAGTAAATATAGCGGTAGGATGATAATTTGAAATGCAAGCCCGGTCTCTTTTTTTATAGACGGGAATAGTTCCCGCTTTTTTTAGCTGACTTGGAAATATTACACTCGTGAAGAGTAGGTTGGTGAAGCAGCATAAAAAGCTAGCGATGCAATGAGCGAGTAATTTTACATTTGCCGTACTGATTACATCTAGACCTACAGAGTTTTATTCTTTTAGCGGGACGGCTCAGTGCTCTCCCATAGTTGAGTACGAAGTACTCGAAATCGTTAAACATTTTTTCTAAACACAGCCGTAACCTTTAAATGATTTATGACATTGATTATCTCGTCGGGGTCAGTTGTAAATAAGTACATTGTTTGTAAACGCAGTTGAGGAGATCCTTGATTATTGTTGATTTCTTCGAAAGTGGGACCACAGATGAAGTCACCGAAAGCGTTAGCAATATCTAATGGTTTCGTACGGAAGCCACTTGATGACTGAAGCTTTCTGATTAGTTCATCGTGATCGACCAGATCGGTTCAGGAGAGAATTGAATATTTTTCATTATCACCTTGCATCAGAGCCAGCCTCAGCAATTCTACATTCATAATATCCTTCTTTTGGCTTCTTTTAGTAGTTTTTTCAATAGATTGCAGTAAACTTTATGCGCGTGTTTGCGTCGAATGTTGAAATGATGATTTTTAACTTTGCGGTAAAGATTACTTTTCGCATAAGCTAGCCAGAAGGCTACTTGTTAACCAAGAACTGGGCAACGCAGGGATATGTCTCCGGCACCTCACATTTCTGGTCGAAGTTATTTTACATTGTTTCATGCTATCCGAAATTTATTAAATGCGGAATCACTGTTTAATTCTGAGTTTATAAAAGACCATATTAGCTTAGAAACCTGTGTAATAAAGTCATCTTTGTTAATCACAGCTTTATTGAATTTATGGCAATGTTTATGCAATTGACAAGGAAGGTTAAAGAAGATAGGAAAATGATCAGTGATGTTATTTTCAAGTATACCGCAGACAGGAGGACACATACAATTGAAACATATGTGGTCGATTAATGTGGCTGGATACCCTGGTGTACATGGGGTTTGAAGGGAAACCAATGATTCATGGCCAAAACTCTGAAGGCAGTCATTGTAAGCAACAGTAGAAGCACTGCAGGCATCTAGCAAATTTATAATAATGTAACCGAGAATGAGAACATCTTTCTTTTCTGAAGATAAATTACCAAGCACAATGTTCAATTTACTGCAGAAGCAGATACAGACGATGAAGGCGAGCGAAAGAAGCAACCGATAATTGTTAGATTGACATCTTCTATATCGATTCCCACAACTTCACAATTTGGCACCGAAATTGTTATGTCATGCCGCCGTTTGTAACGTAGATTTGAAGTTACAAAAACAGCGGCACCGCCGTAGCTTTGTTATGGACGGTGGCAGTACTCGGAAGCATAAGAGAAAAATCCGTATAAATTACTGTCTGCGAGTGACAGCCAAGTTTCAGACATGCAGATAAAAGAAAACTTGTGATCTAAAGAAGCCATGAAATCCAAGATTTCATCATAATGCATTTTTTAAACTTCCCGCATTGAAATGAATTGCAGGGAGGCATGGGTTTGAAAAAAACGACTGAAGTTACGAAGTGGAAAAAAAAAATTACATCATTGGATGCGTTCAGGCACTAAGTTAGTTGCCTGGCCCGTTAGTTTTTATCGAAATATAGATAAATCACCCTCAAACGAGATACAGAGGACTCGAGTGTCGCACATCTTCCTGGCTTTTATTTGGTACTTTTCAGTTCAAAAGAACTCACAGCCTTTGTCCCTTTTCAGTTACTGAGCCTTTGCGAACAGAATTTTGTTTTCACGTGTCTGGCGATCATTATTGTAAATGGGAACATGATTAGGGGCTGAGAATCCGAGATTCTTTGAATTTATGCGAGCTTTTCACGCGTTGGCGATGAAGTCCTGCTTCTTTGTTCTAGAGAAGAAGCGGGCAACAATATTCTTATTGCCCGATCCTGACCTTGTTGGCAGCTCGGTGGACAATATTGATGTGATCGTCAGAAATCGGACAAGCTTATTTTATCGCCCACAGCCTTTACAAGTCGCGGGAAAGTTCTTGCCCGGTGTGGAAGCTACGCCCTTGATTTGTACGTTGTTTATGCGAGAGTACTGTTCAAGTTCTGACATACGTTTGGCCATTGCTTTATTTCCAGTTTTTAGTTAGTGCTTTGTTGTTTGCAGTCAGACCATTGTTCTGAGCTCAAACTTCTTCAACCAACGAGTTAAGCATGTCGACACTTCTGGTTAGTGCCTCCATTTCCCGTTTCATTTCAATAATTTTACCTTCTGATGACAGCTTTATCGAACATTTTTTCACAAGATCAGAGACAACCTCGTTCGATTGACTCTTGAACAAAGCTTCTAGCTGATCAAATTTTTTCGGAAGCTCAGCACAAGAAGGCATGGTGTCAAGCACAAACAATAGCAATATATGAGCACATGCAGCAGCGGCGGTCACGCAAGAAATGGTAAACAAAAATACAATCTGTAGTGTCACTAACCTGCAAAAGCGAGCAGAGTGATCCTCTGCTCGTTCGTTGCTTCTAGCCATGACCACCGCTGTCCAATGATGCCACGCCAGTTTTGCCATCCCTCTGATCCGGGAAGAATCAACAAGGCAGCTTCGCAGTACCGATTATAGACTCGGGTAGACCGTGCAGGAAATCCACGCAGGTCCCACCAGCAACGCACGAGACAGGCGATTAAACCGAAGCAACAGCAACACGTGAGCCGAAGGGACCGTATCCGGCTAGGTATAGACGACGAGCACTGCAAAAGCAAGCAAAGTGATCCTTGAAGTTTGTTGCTTCCCAGTGACGGTAGAGTTCCGTTATGCATTGGTCATTGTACGACTTGCATAAGGCGATGACTTGTTGGCGTCCACAATGTACTGCACAAGTACCGCGTCAATGCCCACACTGCTAGCACTGATGTGTAGATCGGTTGGTGCCTATGGATCAAAACGGCGTAAAACTGAAGCAGAGGTAAGCAAAAAGTTTTAGCTCGCTCAACGCAGACTCACACTCAGCACTCCATGCGAAAACATTTGTCCTTGTGGAGCAGCGACGTGAGCGGATGCAACTAGACGTGCGAAGTTGTTGATGAAAACGGCGGAAATACGAGCACAGGCTCCAGGAATGTGCGAAGGTCTTTCCACCGTCTCGGTTCCTCGAAGTTGGCTCGCTTCAGGTGGACTCTTGTCGCGTGACAATACTAACAAGCAAGTCGCAATGTCCATTGCAAGAGTTACAACCTCAAAGATAAAGCTACCACAATAACATACTTTTCATTCAGGACATTGACATTCTATGTTTGAAAGACGTTTGACTAGGCATAATTAAGAGCAAACACGCAGGCCTTGTAACAAAAGAGTTCTTTAAAACCGCGCAAACATACTACTTATAGAGCAAATATTAGGCTGTTTGCGTATTTCTGCAATGTGATATGCCACCTCACCTCACGAAGATAGGTAACAGTTGAATGTCATCCGCTCTTAAGCGACGCTGTTCCGAATAGGTTTCGTTGGGCACAAATTAAATATCACTCACGTTTTACTGAAAGCCCTATGGGTTTAAAATAAATTATTACAGAAAAAATAAAAGCCAGTAAAAGGTCTTCAGAAGACTGTTTTATACGTATACGTAGTAGTCATCCATACTTCTCGCGTAAATTAATCAGAAAGGCTATTTTGCTCGTCGCAAGTCTGACCATCGCAGAAGTTTCAATGCTGTCTAAATGGATGTATTACTGTCGATGGGTGAGGGCGTGAACGCGGGAAGAGGGAAGGGAAACGTTAGAAGGAAGTGACTGGGATATGCAAGAAGACCCATGTAATTAAACCTAAGTGCGCATTGAATGGTCAAAGTTATATCGGAGTTTATCACTAAGCATGAACATCGCTTCTGCGCGTGAAAGCGGGAAAATTGATTTCATCAGCGCATCACCATGAGCTCTCACTTCTTAAATATCTCTACGCAGCATTGAGATCGACTCCCTGTTCGAAGGCGTGGATTTCTACACGTCCGTATCACGCGCGCGGTTTGAGGAGCTCAACTCGGACCTGTTCCGGTCCTGCCTGGATCCTCTGGAACGCTGCCTCAACGACTCCAAGCTGACCAAGCAGGAAATCAAGGATGTCGTGCTCGTGGGTGGCTCCACCAGGATCCCCAAGATACAGAGACTCGTGCAGGACTTCTTCAACGGGAAGGAGCTGAATAAGTCCATTAACCCTGACGAGGCCGTTGCGTACGGCGCCGCCGTGCAAGCGGCCATTGTGACGAACATTAAGACAGTAGAGCTGGAGAACGTACTTCTGCTCGATGTCACCCCGTTGTCACTGGGCATCGAGACGGCGGGTGGCGTGATGACGGTGCTCATCATGCGCAACACAGCCATTCCTATCAAGAAGACTCGCATCTTCACCACCTACACGGACGAGCAGCCGAGCGTGCTGATACAGGTATGCCACATCACAGCTTGGCTGCCCTTCACTCCTCAGACCATGAGGGTAACGTTACACGAAACTATTCGTGCGAGAACTCGGCATGCTGCATTCTCAAGGATGATAGAGGCCGGTATATGTAATTCACGAATGGTTCCCAATATTCGTTTTTCTACAGGAACAGCTGGTCTATGAAAACAACTTTTTTTGCCAAACCTTCAGAAACAATGTCCAAAAAAGGAGGGGGGGGGGCAGCTAAGCCGAATGTTTCAGACGACATGAACACCCTTGGTCATAAAGTTTAAAATGAAAAAAAACTAGCTTATAATGGGCGGTCGTTACATAAAAAATGTCCACACACACACACACACACGCGCGCACGCACGCACGCACGCACACGCACACACACGCACGCACGCACGCATACACGCACACACACACACACACACACACACACACACGCACACACACACACACACACAGAGAGAGAGAGAGTTTCCTATAATTTGCATATACCGATCTGGCTGGCAAAGGATAAGCATGAAGTACATTTCTTACATTTAAGCAGATAAAGAACACGTATACGTAAAGCAAAATGTGACAGAAGGTACTTTACGTTGGCCATTTTTCCTCCACCTATTCAATTCAGTACTTACATTATAATCTGCAACACGCGCTCAGGTGTTCGAGGGTGAGAGGGCTCTCACGAAAGATAACAACCTGCTTGGCAAGTTCGTGCTCAAGGGCATCCCACCTGCACCTCGGGGCGTGCCGCAGATTGAGGTCACCTTTGATCTGAACGCTGAAGGCATCCTCAACGTGACTGCTGTGGAGAAGAGCGTCGGCAAGCCTAAGAACATCACCATCACGAACGACAAGGGCCGCCTGACCAGCGAACAGATTGCCAAGATGATCAAGGAGAGCGAGACCTACAAGGAGCAGGACACTTTCGAGAGAAACCGCATCGCCGCCCGGAACGCACTCGAGAGCTACTTGTTCCAGGTGCGTTCACACTCGGCCAGCCCACAATGGCTTAACTCCTGTACTTTCAGTGTTTAGTACAACACCGTGAGGTTTGGGCTCTTTGGCATACAGGTGCCATGCGTAGTGGAATGGCAAGGGCTCCAGGTATTTTTACTTTTTGTGTATGAAAACCACATACGTGCGCCTAAAACAACTCAAACGATAAGCCGTCATAGCCTTTTTACGCGATGCTCCCTCCTCTCCCAAAGCTTTCAGCACCTTATGTGGTATTGATCGAGCTGCCTCTGGAAGAGTCGGCGCCTCACCTGGTTTTGGTATCGGCTCACTTTTGACCTAGTGACGATGTTACATGACGGCGTCATCACGTCAATTCACATTGTGACGTCGTAGTGACATCGCTGTGACACACATGTTAGCAATCTGTGACGTCATGAGGGCGTAATAGCGTGATAATCACTCGTGCTGACCCCACCAACGGTTAATATCCATGTTTGATACGCAATCGAAGGTTTCATTTAAATAAATGTGAGATCGCACCAATGCCCGAGATGCCAGGGCCGAGCTATGCATTAATGAAGGAAGGCTTCATGCACTCTCGCTTGACTAATACCAATTAACCCTTTACTACAGATGACCGTCACTCTTGACCTGTCATCTGTAGCACGATGTCTTTGCGTTCTGCGGTGCCCCTTCAAGGTGACATTGACTGCACGTGCCAGCGTAAGACTGGTGTTTCTGGCGCCTGTCAAACTGGGATCACTGTGAGCAAAAGAGTGAGCGCCCTTTGTCCGAAATAATTTCTTTGCAAGAAGCAACATACTGCGGGATTAGTTCCTTGAAAAACTGAATCCATCTACAAGATACCGACGTCTTGCTGTTCCCGCAATGTTGGTCGAACAAGTTGCTGCGGTAGCGACCGGCTTCTAAAGCATCATAAACACCTCAAAGATGCCCCGCCGCGTTGGTGTAGTGGCTAAGGTACTCGGCTGCTGAACCGAAGGCCGCGGGAACGAATCCCGGCTGCGGCGGCTTCATTTCCCATGGAGGCGGAAATGTTGTAGGCCCGTGTTCTCAGATTTGGGTGCATGATAAAGAGCCCCAGGTGGTCGAAATTTCCGGAACCCTCCACTACAGCATTTAGTCACAATCATATGATGGTTTTGGGACGTTATACCCCACATATCAATCAATCATCAACCTCAAAGATGAAGCTGAAAGAAATCTGTCGAATCACTGTGCCGAGTTCGGATGCACTCCAGGTTTTAACAGACGCACATATCACGCATAATTTTTGCGCATGGAATGAAGGGTTCACGTTTGCTTCCATTGGGCCATCATGTGTAAGCGCACCGTCCGTCGTACAAAAGATTAATTATAATCGTGATTGAACTTCCCTAGAAACTCTTGTGTGGGGCCTCCCTTTCTTTCAATTCTGTTTTGTCTTCTTCTTTCCAAGGCGTATATATTTGTTCCGACAAAATGAACGCTCAATTTGTTAGCCAGCGCAGAGTCAAGTTGTCTTTCTTGCCCTGTGTGTCCAAGCTGTTTTTTTTACGATTCAGCCCTGCCAACGAGCTCAAGTATATAACCCATTTAAAATTTTGGTTTGAACTCCCACACTAATCTATCTGCCTCAACTACTAATCAACGGCAGTGTACATATTTAGGAGAGCCCATCCTTCGAACAAGGCTAAAAGCCAAAGCCATTTATTTCTTTTTCTTCCAGTATTAAACACTCTGAATCATTTCCGTTGTTTTCCGACTGCTTCAAGGATCGGAAGCTCTGCCAGCTTCCTGTACCTCAACTGTTCGTTCACTGTCTCCGTGATAGTGATCCAGAACTACCAGTTAATGCTCTATTGATAATATTGATAGTTTCTTTTAAACTAGCGATAGTGTAAAGAAACTCGATGGTACTGTTATTGATGAATGACTGACAGTATTATTGACAGTGCAATCAATACTGCAATCAGGAGTACTTAGGCTGATAGTACAATGAATCAGGCTGTGAATGGTTATGCTCCTAATTTTTTTGGTGGCGATTTTGCGAAATATATGGCGATAGCCTAGTCTCGGCCGTCCTTAGTTCACTTAATTTATGAGAAATGTTTTTCTTCTGGTAAAAGAAATAAATCCGGCATTTTGCCGCAATCAAAACACCGGATTTTGTCCTTCAATTATTTCATATTGAAATGTAACCAGTAAATCTTACAATAAAAATTTGCTCTTCATATATGTATTTTCATATCACAAGATGGAATATATGTTTCATGCAGTAAAGTTCCACCGCACGTAACGACTTGCGGGCTGCTAAAGGTGAACAGCCCAGCTTGATTATCCTGCGACAGTCAGTCATTCAGCCGAAAAAAGGCAAGGATGTCAACTTTTGCGCACTTAAGCCTGCTTCTACTGCTCCACCATGTACAGTTGAAACTAGATTGGACGAAACTAGACTGGTCGCTCAGGTTATTTCCATAACAACGGCAAATTTAGCGCGAAAAAAACGCGGACAAGAATGGGTACACCACAAGCGCTTACTCATAACTGAAAGCTTTAATGCTCGAACCAAAAATATATAACAGTTACACTAGGTGCCCGAAAAAATACTGCGCATGCGAATCGTGTGCGAAACAAAAAAAGCACCAATACAAAGCAAGAACACACCTCCTGCACCACCCTCCCCACTGGTCTACCCCCTTTCTATGAGTAGCGCGACTTCCTTTTCCGATAAGGCCAGAGAAGGATTGCCTAACGCACTTGGGAGCTCTCGCGTTAATATGGTAGGCCTCGACAAGTTCTCGTGTCGTGCGATCGTGGTGTCTAAACCATACCTCTGTGGCGGAGAATTGCGCTTCACACTGGCACTCAGTGCGGTGCATGGCCAGCTGCGTTATGGGTCTTCCCTGCAAGGAAGACTGATGCTCCCTAAGACGAATGTTTAAATATTGGCCAGTCTGGCCACGTATACATGATCACACGACAGAGGGATGCAATGGACGACGTTGGCCCTACATGACACGGAGCAAATATGGTGGTTAATGGAGCAACCACGCATTCCGACCTTGTTAAGCCTTGTTGCCCACTATTGAACATATTCTGCCTAGCTTGTATTAGCAGAAAAAATGACCTTCGAGCCAACCCGCTGTGAGGTTTTCTTAAAGGCCTCCTCCGGCGATTTTTCGAGGTCAATGAATCTCAATGAAATTCGCTGGGTATGTTCCTTTGCACATTTTCGCCCTTTATGCCAAATCACGGGTTTGAATTATGCACTGATCGTTTCCAAAAGAATATTTTAAAGGTGGCCTCGAAAAGCTCACCTCCCTTGTCAGAATTATTGGCAACACTGTCGGGTTGACGTCACGCTTGGCATGTGAACGTAAGAGACGCAGCCGATGGCATCGGTACTTTGGCCACTGCAGCGTTCATTGTGCTTCTCACAAGGCGACCGTGGCGATGTTTGGCACGAGTATAGCACGGGAATGTTTTCTTCCTTCCTCTGTGGTGCTTGGCCGGTGCTTCGCTGGACTGGCTTTCACAGTTTTTATACTCCGCGCCGGCGGAACCAGTATACGGCCTTCGGCTCCACCAAATGGTACGTCCATACTCAGAAAGGGCACTCAGTTGAGTTTTGGTTTCGGTATTGTACATTTTTGCTTATTAAACAATATTTTCGAAGTTCCTGAGCATTTCAGCTACTGTGCTCGTTTCAAGAGTGTCTCAGGAACATAGAAACACCATTACCTTTACGCGGCCAAAAAATCGCGGGAGTTGGCCTTTAAGCCGATGTTAGAGCGCGTGGGTATATGGCGTAACAGCTACATTTGATCATTGTGAGCTGTGTTCTGACTGCGTGCGTCGATACCTTTTATGTGTTTGACAAGGCGCAGGCAGGTGGTACGTATTGCCGAGACAGGGAAGGCTACGTTATTTAGGGGATCGACCTGCTCTAGAAAGCTACGCAGAGCGAAATGCTGTGCAAGATCTGTTTACAGCTACATTTACGTTGTATGGATCAGTACCAACTCGCTCACCTCTCTGTTTTGCTTCAGGCTATTTCGTAAAGTCGGGGAAATTTGGTGAAATAAAGCAACAGATTCTCCATTCTTTAAAATACAAAATTTTAACGTAATGACACCCAGAGACTTCCACGGCATTGCTTTTATCAGCAACTCACGCTTGCGTGTCTGAAAACTTGGCCGATTACGATGCGATGGCGGCTCAGGCATAGCGGACACCATGTTCAGGTGATCGAAGGCCCCAGGTAGGTCGTCATGTGGTGCTATGGCCACCTACCAACATGCGATAACATGGAAAACGAATGTAGTGACTGTGTCAGCAGTGTGAGAAAGAAATATGGGAGGCGATGATCAGTGCTATCCGTCATTTAAATCACGAAATAGCCAAAGGAACCACTACCGCTTCAAGCACTAAATGGTACGTAAGAATGATACCGGCGACAAGTTTGTCGCTCTGTGCATCGTTGCGACGCGTAGGCCCATGCAAAGAAAGCTAGGGCCCCATTCGTGGCACTTACATGTTTTATGACAATAGTGCGACAGCGCACGCTCGAACTGAACCTGTCTCAGTCAAAAATGGAAAGAATAATCAGCGTTTTTTGTTGAGTTATTTCACAAAAACCTGTTTGTATATTTATTTATTCACAATACCTTACTGGCTCCTTGTCAGAGCAATTATATGTAAGATTTGGTGGCCGAATTAGTTCGATAAATTAGGTTAATTAAAAAAGTGAATGCTAAGCGTAATTGCCTGAGAGTGTTTCTTTTTTCTTTTTTATGATCGACAACTTCGTAAAATGGGGCTTTCTTAGATCGCGTTTTAACTGTACCACACACCTGGGGAATTCATGCTGCTACGAGTTCACGCGGTTGATTGTACGCTTATGGAAGGCGCTATGAAACTTACCATATACTGCGCTATCGATAGCTTTTTCAACCATCGATAGTTAGATACCGACTCAGCTGCCGGGAGTATAGATCATCCTATCGATTGTTCTGCATCCCTGTCCATATTAACCGTCCTTGGACCTAGCGAAGTTGTTATGCATGGCGTCATCGTCGATGTCACGTCATAGTGTTGTCAGGATGACGTAAATTTTGGCGATGTGTGATGTCTTGATGATGTATTGTGGTGACGTCATTACAGGGATGACGTGCTTTTTTCGTCACTTGTGTCATCGCCGCGTAATCTGGTTCAGGGCACCCGGTCATCAAGGACTCAAGGGAAATAAACAAGCCGATCACGCCGCCCGCGCACTCTCTTCCCAGGCTGTCTCCCTGTCTTCAGAAGCCTACGACTAATCAAGCAATTCGGCCTTTTCAAAGTTGAAAGATATTACCAAATTATTACCAGGAGGAGCACCAGCGCTTTGCGCACCCTTGCAAGGCACAGCATCGCACTGACGAGCACCTTATTTTCGAACTCTCTACCAATACTGTACTGTTCCGGGTAGTGCTAAAATGTTTCAATTCATTTTTTTGATGGCACGTGCCAGTACCATAGAATAGTGGCCATCACTTTTCACATAGACTGAACGTGCCACTCTGATCCTATCTATCCCCCCCCCCCAACCCCAACCCCAAGAGAGAGGACTGGGAGGCGGCCCTGCTCGGCTGTCAGGACCGGAGGGCCCTGGTTTTAATAGAGGTTCCACCTAAAACTGTGAGGGGAGGAGGCCAATGAGGCCTCTACCCAATCACCTCTCTGTAAGCATTTAATGGTTATTAAGTGTTTGACCACCACCACCGCGAGACGCCGACCGAAGGCGTGTTTGGCGAGGCATGTAAGTGTTAGTTCAAACAGCCGTCAAACAGCCGTCACGTCACCGTCTCATCAGAATAGCGAACAGCAGATGCGATGGAGCAATGTACGAACAGGCTACGGTGGTCGCAACGTCGACAGATGACGTTTCAGGGGCGAAGCTCCTCTTAGTCTAACCCTGTACTTCGTCAGGCGTAACCGGCAGTATTAAACAAACAGATATACAAACAGACAGGTGGATGGATGGACTCACAGATGTACGGATGAACGGACGGATGGAAGCATGGATGGACGCATGGACGGATGGAGGGACTAAAGCACGGACGGACTAATGGATGCACGAACGAACGCACAGACAAACAGAGACAGAAATATGGAGGGACAAACGCACAGACAGACACACGAATGGACAGACGGACGCTTCGCTCCACTCATCATTCATTCACTCTTTGGATATGCTGCGATTTTTTCACCAGTGCTGACTGATCTTTCTCGTATGTTCTCTTGACTTACAGAAATTGAATAAACATTATGCGCCAAATAAATTGAATGAAGTCTTAGTGCTGCTGGGTGAAAACTACATTGACGTTATCAATATCGGACATTTGGCACCACACAAACTTCACAAGCTGCATGGCGTGCCACATGCTTAAACACTCGTGTCAAACGCGAATGCTAATAATAGTTGTGGGTCGGGATACGACTGTGACTTTTGCACAGCCTGTGCTGTAGCGTGTAAATGGACAAATCTGGCTTCGTTAAAAGCGTCTTATTTAGTGGCCAGATTCCTAAACATTGATTGGTCCATTTTGTAAGGGCGGGGCAACGTCATCGTTCCCGCAGCGGAAACGTAGAGCATCGTTTTACATCATCATCAACTCGTTTTTTGAAATGAAAACAGCTCGAAAATATTCTCCCTTGTCGAAAACTGCGGCCATGACGGTAGTGTAAATGAGCTGTGACAGCCGTGCAAATGATTACTAGGGCGTTTGCCTAAACGCAGAAGCACCTCGTTATACAGTATGTTAGGAAACAGGCAAGTGCTCTTGGTAAGAACAACAACCCACGGTTGCATTGTAGCGGTTAGGAATCCCAAACTAGCACTGAGCCTACTACCTTTCGCAGGTGCGCACCAAGATCAAGGAAGACCCCTCAGTCATCAATGTGCTCAGGCAGCAAGAGATGGACGACGTGCTCAAGAAAGTGGACGAGATGGAGGGCTGGCTAGAGATGAACGCCGTGAGAGATGTTCTTCTAATTTACATCAGCCTCGTTTTCACTATTCGTTTCTTTCCTGCGTACAGTAGTGCTCCAGGGTAAGAAATAGGAGGAAGGTTGTGGTTAACGCACACCTCCACACGAGAGAAGTTTGGTGGAAAGTGTAGGCTTCGAGTGACGAGAAATGGTCTCCGAGGAAATGTCGCACGAGCTACCATTTCGGCAACTGCCCTTGTCGTTCACACAAATGTTGTTTTAGCACTCCTGAATTGGCAATGTCTTGCTCTCAAACACACGCAAACTCGCACGCGCACATGCACAAACACCCATGTGCGCTTTAGCACGTAGATGCGGCAGGGTTTTATGGTAAAAAAAAAAGGAAATATGTGAGCCACTGCAGCACGCTACACGGTAATTATTAAGCTTGCAATTAATAGTAAAACTATCGTTAGCACTGAGTGCCTATGGCCAGCCCTTTGAATCATGCCACTTACAAGTATACTGACCTCGACTGTGGTATTAAGTATTTATCGTACTCATCGATATTTCATTTTCTGCTTGTGAGCCTGTGACTCTCCTTCACAACCCCTACGAACATTTGCACTTAGAAGACTCCTTCCTGATTTAACGGTGATTGTGAACCTAATCTATTACTTAAGATTGGTGTGTTACGCCCATGGGTTTGCGTAATTTCTGTTTTTTTTTTCTGTTTTTTTTTTCAGAGGATCAACCCGGGACGAGTTCGAAAGAAGAAAGAAAGAACTAGAACAGCTCTGGGAACCTCTCCTTTTGCGTGTATATGCCAGCACGCAAGGAGCAAGCTTGAACACTAGTTAAAACGCTG